GGGGGCTGATGAGAAGCGGCCCTAATAAGGACAGCTAAGCACACACAACATCATCCCACCGCACTGATTTGCATATTCTCTAGGGGGTCCAATCTGTCGAGGGTAGTAGGATCAAATAATATGGGCCATTACGATGCTTGTAGTGTCTTGGTCCCTGTGACAAAAAAAGAACTCCAAATAGGCAAAGAAGGGGGAGGGGATGTTCTTGATCCTACTGGCAATAAAACTGCTAGCTATTTTTGCTCTAAAGCATGTCTCGCAAAGATTAGAAGGGTGCTATGAAAAATTTTCAACTCAAAACCCTGCCATTACCCCTTGAAGAATCCGCATTGTTGGGAAAATCTTGTGCCATCCTCTCTAATATCTCTTTATCCTTAGCGGTAGGTCTTTAATTTGGACACCGCTGCGTGGAACTGGCACCCTTCCGAGACTCGACGAGGTCAAGAGGGTTTTTGCTGCTAACGACATGTTGCTTTCAATCAGTCTGAAGGCCTAGATGCACAGCGTGGATCCTGCAAACCCCTTTAGTAAAAATTATTTGATCTTCTTCTGCATTTCTCTTTTTCGTGAGATTAGAAGCTTAGATTTGCAGAATGCAATAGGCATGCACAGAATAGAATAGCTCACCTCTAAATCTGTAGCTAATGTTATCATTCTACTCTAGATGGCGATATCTACGTCGAAATCTTGACTACAGAAGTCTTCATTTTTTGTATATCATCAAAATATATATTAACTTGTAATTATATAAGGGGTAGAAAAGTTTTCGGATATTTTCAGACTAAAGCTGCTATTTCTCGAAATCTAATGCATGCACATACGCAAAAACTCTTGCGGGTAGCTGATATGTAAGCAAGGGGGAGGAGTCTGACATCAATGGGGGCGGGATTTGTCCTTTTCCATCCTCGTTTTTCTTATTGTTTGAGATCAAATTCTATACAAACTTTGCATGTAAGTATGTAAGTATATGTATACTTTAAATTGCAGCTTGTGAGGGTTCCACAGCGTTTATAGAAGTTAGAGATCTGGTTTGTGTCAAAACCTATGCTTTCGAAATTACGTTAGAATTTTCATAGAAAACATTGATAATGCTTATGCTTAACATATTTCTGTAGATATTGATTTCCTCTGTCAACGGTGTAGCATGCCCCAATCAGTGCTTAGTCGAAACAAAAACTTTGTCAAAAAGCAATGTCCGAGAACTTTCTTTCCAACCAATATATTTTTGTACATTCAGTACGTACCTGCTACCATTTTTGCGATACTTTTCTAGTCCATTCTAGATTTATATTTATGTTAACAGTAAAATATAATCTCAACAGAATGACTGTGTTGAAAATGTGCATGAGTTGAACTAAATGAATAAATTGACTTAAATAAAAGCTCAGAAATCGAAAATAGATTATTCATCTACCTCCTGCACACTTCTTGCATTCGGAAACAATTTCTCAATCAACGATCGATTATTTACTACAAATTCCCGTTTCGCTTGAACTATATCAATGCAATGGGAGGTCCATGGGGATTTTGGTGTCGATCTCTTGAGAAATGTGGATTGGGGACTGTGAAGTTGTGTACCAAGATTTTTCTTCATATTGGCAGGCTAGTTTAAATTCTAATGCAAAAGAATTAGACAGATTTTCAGAAATTTTCTTAAATACCTTAATCTTCAGACAGATCACGATCTCCACCAATACTTCACAATCATAACTCAATAAAAATTTTCTGAAACTTTCTAAACGGCTAGGAAGTTTCTTGCGGGATATTTTGAAAGCATTCATTATACTAGTGGACTCTAAATCAGGTTTTTTCCCAACGTATAATCTGGTGTTTTCTGATCACGTTCAAGAACAATGAGGACAAGCGGGCTTTTTAGCAAATAAAATTGGCATTCGTAAACAAAATTTGCAAAGCTCCCTAATGGAAGTCCTATAGCAAAAAGTGGTAAAATTCCAATCGTAAAATTCTCTCGTAGGCAGTGCACATTCCGCAACTTCGGACAGTCATCCAAGGACTCTAAAGGAGTCTAAACTGGTGCAAGTAAATTGGTAGCAATTATTCATCCATGTCAAACGCTAAGTTCAATTCTTGACCTTCACCCGCTGACATTTTGGCATCAGGCAGACGAATCTCTGCCGAGACGTCTGGCACCCGTAGAAATGGGCGTTACCCCATCCCCCTCCCCCTCCGCCAACCCGGGGCTTTGCTATACAAGATCGCAGGCATTAGGACCCCACTCGACAATTCGTAGAGCCGGGGGCTCGGCCGGCCAATTCAAAGCTCACTCTCGTTAAGCTTTATCCAGATACGGCCACCCTTCCCTTGCACTTCTGATTACACTTCGGCTACCCCATCTTTGCAACCCCCCCCCCCTCCTCCCCGCGCACTTCTTGCTTCCGCACTTCACAAAGATATCAGTCCACAAAGCGCGCTCTTGGCGCTAATAAATTACTCACGATGATGTAATGATTGGCCAGCGACGGGGCTAGTGGGAGGCGTTCGCGCCGCTGACGACGACGGCGAAAACTGGTCTCTGCCCCATCAAGAAATGGCTGCCGGTATCTCTTCTGCTACCAGCCAGCCGCACGACCCTCATAGTCAGATCAGTCGGCTACCTCAAAGCCACCCTAACTCCTCTGACTGACATTGCCTACCCCCCCCCCCGTAATTGTCTCCTCAAATCGCTCGCTGACTTTGATTTTTCAAAGATTTTAGTGGCGCTCACTTTGCATGTCATAATTACGGTGGCTGCGAAGGCGGTCGTCGACCTTCCATTTCTGGTGGGGCGAAACTTGGCCTTGACAAGTCCGCGAGCCGCGGCCAGTTATTCAAGGCGCGTACCGGTAAACACCTTAAACTGTGGGCCCCGACCCACTCATTTACGGCCCTCAACACTTCCTCATTATTATTGTCTTCGCATCTGTCTTTCTTGGAGGAGTTTGGGTAATTTTCCGACCGTTGTACGTTCTTGATAAGCGTGGTGTCTGCCCAGGAAAAGTTTTAGAGAGCCACCAGCTTCGTATTTTTTTATTTCGAGGTGATCCAATAGAAATGCAAATACCCTAAATTTCATAGCTATAATAACTTTATCATTTTAAGCATAAATTCGTTATTTACTATAAGAACCTGTGTTACTGTCTTATATTGTAAAAAAATGAGATTACAAAACTCATATCTTCTTCAGTTTGTGTTATAATCATAATGCAAGAATTAATATATTTTTCTTGATTTTGATCAAGTGAGTAGACTTTTTTGCTAATGTGTGCAGCTGCACATTTTCCAGGATGCTGACAATGAAGCTTAGACCTTTCAATTAAAAGAAGCATGCTTGAACAAAGAAAAGAAGAAAAATCAAAAGAAACTGTCCGTAATAATGCGCAATTGCACACATTGGTAGGAAAATCTACCTAACATCTGCCTCAGTCTACCTCAAATTTGATTTTCGTAGTTGTTCACTACTCTTTTCTTCGAAAATCGTTCATCTACTTCAATGTCATTTTGTTTAGTGTAATTGTAAATTGTTCTTTTCATGTGTGTTTCCAGTTTAGTGGGCAACCGTACCTAGGTTACTTCGTGGAAATGTGAAATTATCTGTCACTCGAATTTAAAATTTCTTTCTCTGTTCATCCCAAACGCAACAATTGCCGCATCCATCAACGTCCGCATAGATTATTCCACACATTGTCTCATAATTTATGAGATCTCGCTAATTAACACCAACGCTTACCTCACACGCCCATCTGGTCCCGTAGACCCTCGTAATTGTTCTCATCTTCGAATTCAGCCCCCATTCATCAACTCCCCCACCCCTCATGCATTTTAATCGAGAAAACGTCGCATAATTTCGTTGGTTCGCAACCTCTTTCCCGCTCGGCGCGGTTGCTTTCCGTGCAAGGCTGCAGTCCTCGCTCTGTTTTTGGAAATTTCCTGATCGAGTTAGGTTCTTTTCTGAGAGTTCGTTCGTACAACCCACTATTCTTTACACATCACTCATCGGATTATGCACTTCTGAGTCGGTATTTGCAGAAGAAAGAAATTCGATTATCGTAGGATTCTCGCGTATTTTTGGCATGGGTCCAATTCTCGCATTTTTTGGCAGAAGTGGACCACAGTTTCTTTCCTCAAATCAAAAACAGAGTAATAAGAGATTTTGTTTTCCTGTCATCTTCCTTGCATCTTGTCGTTTGCTGTGGTGATAAACCGCAAGAAAGTTTTCATGAACTTTTCTATGTAAGCTACGAAAGCTCTATCTCGCCTTTTAACCCTAAATTTTTTTGCTTCTGTGGTTGTTGTTGTTAAACTTTCTGTCACATTTACATCGAAGAAACAAACACTTGCTCAAACCTGCTAAACTCCTTTTTTCCCACTTCTCCATTTTGCTTTATTTTCGATCGATTTTCGCTCCTGCACACATAAAAATAATACTTTTTAGAACGATTCTGCCACATTTTTTTCCATTTTCAAGAAGAGAGACTGGGAAAAGCCTCATATTTTGTCTTTATGTGTCTCGCTGCAAACCTTTCTCTTTCGTTTTTATTACATTTGCAATTTTTTCTGAATTTTTTTGTCTTTTACGAGAGTAAACGAAGTCTGCTGCAAGGCCAATCAGTCATGGATGTGAAATTTTTCCGATACTTACAGCAAACTTGAACAGGCTCATTTGTGAAGAATAATCTCGTTTTGTTTTTATTGCGCAAGGTCATATCTGTTTTTTCCTCTGTAGAGCACTTTATCAATTGCTAGAGACATTCTTTTTGTTTTCTCGCTTGTTCTTGGTTTGCTGGTTGAGGATTCACTCATAACTTCGCTGTTGTCGGAAAATTACTAGGTCGACTTTACTACAATTTTTCGTGTTTTCCACTAATCTTGAGTTTTCTGTGTTGTTTTGGTATTTTTTGCTCTCACAAATTTATCTGGTTTTGCATCTTTTAAGACTTTACTCCATTCCAGGCACCTCAGCAATGACCATACCTCTTCGGAAGCATTGTTCCTAGCTCAAAATGCATCTTTTGCTCTTCGCCCTATTGTTCCACTTCGTCCTCGGTATAACGTTCGTCGTTCCCGAATCGTCTCCTGTCGGCCATGTGATCGGTTACGTCGAGGGACGACCTACTCTTTCCACTCAACCAAAATATTTCGTCGTTTACCCGGATAGCGTTTCCGAACAGGTTAGCATTTTCATTCTTCATTTTTAGTTTTTTTTTGCCTGACTTTTGCCCGTGTTGGTGGCTTTCAAACTAGGAAGAAAATCCAGATTTGCACCCTGTAGATAGTCGAAGGTTTTTTACGCTCCATTTGTCTCAATCTTCCCCCCATTCTGTGGTGAAGAAGGTGCGGGGGACCCCGTCCTCCAACCCGAGTAACGGCCCCGCGAAATGGCCGACCTTGCGGCTGTCTCGTAACATTGGCAATTATGAACGCCTCGCGCACCCAAAGAACGTCAGATATGCTAGAGATGAACGTCTAGGGCAATGTACAGTAGTTTGGGGTAGGCAGTAGGGTGGCGGTGGTGGGGAAAGTAGTACAGTAATCGTTAGGGTAAGGAAAAAGCCCTGTCACACTTTTGCTTGCTGTTATAGCCGCAATGCGCATTCCGCAAGCATATCTCTCACTATGGACCGGATCCATTCATCTTTTTTGTAGAAGTAATATCCTCAGTCAACGCCTATCTGTATGTTTTACACAACTAATCATTCTATGCACAAAAAGTCGCAGTGCCCCTTAACGATGACTACAAGGTTTAATTTGAAAAAAAACGAAAAAAGTTTATATTTCTCCCCTCATCCTTCCCGAATCATATAGAGCAAATGTAGAGCTTTCTTTTGGATGCAGATTATAGCATTTACTTCATCCTAAAAAAATATTTCTGCGACTTACTCAGGAATTACTGCACGATTTATAGTATGCTGAGTTCTGCTTTCCCTAATTTGAAATTAGATCTTCTTAAAAAGAGAGGAAAGTAGATTCTTAAAAAGACTCAAAGCTTCTTTTCATTCTCGGATTATCACTATTGCTTCTCCCGTCTTACCTCTCCCAGTTGTGCGATAAACAACTAAATAATTGAAAAAATCAATTACCCTAATTTCACGCTACAAGGTGAAGGTGATTTTTTTTCCAAAATCGACCAGCCCAAACACGCCAAAGAACTTCGCAACCAAAGCTTTGCCTTGCTGTATATTGCTTAAGAGAATCGTACAGCATGAGGATCGTTTTCCGAAATAATTTAAAGCGGCTGAGGGGCTTAGTCTAAAAATCGAAAAAGGTGCGCCTTGTACGCGTGAAATAAGGGTATTTGAAATTTCTCAGCAACTTCTCCTTGCTGAAGTTTATAAATTTTGCTATTTTCGAAGCCTTGTGGATTCCGATTTTTCATTGTTAGAACTGTTTAATCGTGTTTTTAGTCTCGAGCAATTGACAGCATTGCAAATAACCTGAGGTTAAGCAAACAAGAGAAGGGGAATGTGGGATTATACTATTATGAACTATTCGTGTTTGAACAAAAATTTAATTCTAAAGTCGACCTAAGGCCCCGGACAGACTTCACGCGGTTCGATCGTCGCGACTCAATCGCCGACATTTCCATTCATTTTCATTTCACATTCAAAAATTTCGGGCTGGAAAAGTATCACAACCGAAATGCAAGTTGATCGGCATGGAATGATGTTGTAACAGTTGTCTCGTCGCGACTCAGTCGCGACGATCAAATCGCGTGAAGTCTGCCCGGGGCCTAAAGCTATTTCTTCTTTTTGTAGTGATTATAGAGTGCATGATAACATCCTTCAATCTTTACCTACATCTGTTCAGCTCCATTAACTATGCGAAATACATTATGTGCGGTAACCGCGTGCGCGGAAGCGGTCAACGTTCCAAAAGCGACTGCGGTCGCAAATAACGGATGTCATTTAAGACATGACACGCAACCTAATGACTAACTGCTAATTGGCACGAGCCCTCAAAGCCTTGGGCCAAAGGTGGGGGCTGCCTGTCTAAGGCCACTAAACCCCTAGAGACTAGGAATGGCTCGTAATCCTCGAAATACTCAACGAACTGATTCCGCTGACCCCATAAACGTCGGAATGTCTGTGCGTACCAACATTAGACACTGGGCATTGTCCTAATGCTCAGGAATTCTCCATTAACTTTTGCGGGAAGTAATTGCTCGGAAACATAAATGCAAAAAAGGAGAGAGAAAAATTCTTGCATTTTTCGAAGAGGTACTTGACCTGAATTAGAGGCAGTTTCTAATAGAAATGTTCAACTAAAGTGAAGTCGTTAGATTTTTTGCTTAATTTGCTGAATTTTTCACTGAATGATTTCTTACGATTATTTCCAAGTTTGCTCAGACCTTGAACTTTCTAAGAATGCGGAGGAATACAGTATGTGAAGCTGATGTAAGCAAAATTCAAATTCCTGAGTAGACGTATTTCCATCGAACAAAACCTGTTTTGAACATTGTTAGATTCTACGAAAAAGGGTCTGTAATTCTTATCAGTTTTTTTGGTATTTTTTTTTGCCGCACAAGGCCTGTTGATAGCGATGTGTGATTTAAGCAATTTATTTAAGCATTGATTTAAGCAGCTTTTCAATTTTTGATTCTCAGACTGGACCTAAACTTATACGAAGAAGCTCGGTCACAGGTGCCTTAATGTCTATTTTTTGTGAAATTTTTGTTATTTTATGGCTTGCGTAATGTCCTATTCCAAGTTCTTAACAATCCTCTGAGCCTATGAATCAAATAGCAGAAAATAGACTTGAGCAGTATGATTTCCCAATTTGAAGGCTCCGGAAATTTTTTCTCAAAATACTATGCAATCGCCGAAGGGCACACTTCCATCCTGACCAAATAAATAACCCTGATTACCCGCTATTCATGAAGTATTCACTGAAATAAGGCGCTTGAATTAGCGGGTCCGAGTACCAGAGAGCCGTCCGTAGTGCCTCGGAGGAACAACGTTGGGGTTGATTGAATTTACGGCCGACAGCACGTAACGAGCGGCCCCACTTGGGATGCTGGAGTGAGATCACAGAATCCGGAAGAGGTGCTTCCTTTTTTTGCAGATTCTGAGAATCGACGAGAAATCGGGCGAAATCACACTTATCGCGCAATTGGACTTTGAGAAGCACAAGAAGTTCGAGATTTTGGCGGTACCGATCGATGGCGGAGATGGGATACAGGTGGGAAATCCTAATTCAGTTTCCGTTTTTTTGGGGGGGGGGGGGCGAAACAAGAGAAAGGAAATAATATTTTTCTATGAATCTTCCTGAGAAATTCTTAACAGATTAAAAATCCCTAAAACCAAAATGTAATTTTCTTCAAAAGAAAATACCCTTTTATCTCGCACATTTAGCTTAAATTCAACAATTTCTTATGATCTGTTTGGGGAAATAAACAATAAGGAGGCTGAGAAGTCTTCAGTGAACGTGTTCAAATAATTTCAAGTAAATAAAAAAGATTTATGGACTGAACAGATAAAAACCCTTTTCCTCAACTGTCGTAGGCAGATCGCCAAAAAATGTAGATCATCATGACTATTTGTATTATTTCTAATCTTCATCCAAAAAGGACGTTCATGGTGAAGAGGAACTGAATTTAGTAACTTCAAATACTTCCAGTACCTCGTTTTTTGAGGTTGCGATCTACTTTTAAATTATTTTATCATCCAAGTAGTTGACCCTCGCTCGTTTGGCACGAAGATGGAAACAAGTAAATAATCGCATAGATAAATAAATAAATAACGCAAATTTCACAAAAATCTATGTATTCTTTCGTCAGTTCAATAGAGCAGTATGCGCAATTTCTTTGCGCGTTAGCTGATTGAAACTATGATTATGAAATCATTGAAAATAATTGATTAGTTGATTGGAATTATGAGATTATTCATTTTTGAAAAACTTTCTCTCTATGCCCTGAAATTCCAGGCTACAATCGAAGTCGAAGACGTGAACGATCATGCACCTACTTTTCCAGAAGATCACATCAAGGTAAAGATTTCCGACCTTTAGATTAACTTAAATACTGATCGTCTCTTACTTCCAGCTCGAAATCTCGGAATTCGCTCGAATTGGCGCCGCTTACCCACTCCCCAGAGCTGAAGACTCCGATGGACCCACTTACACTGTGCAGAAATATCGCATTGCTCAAGGAAATGTGAACAATGTGTTTAAGGTGTGCAATTACATCGTGAAGTGTCTTTAGCACAAAAAAAGAAACCCGCGTCTAGGTGGCTGTTCGTCCGGTTAATGGAGTTCTCTACGCCGATTTGGTGGTGAACGGGCAGCTCGATCGAGAGTATCGGGATAAATACGAGCTGATCGTCGAAGCAATCGATGGTGGAACGCCAGCAAAGTAAACTTTCGGGTTTTTTCTCGCTCGCAATTTTCTACCATTTTAGGGTGAGGAGCAAACTGGGGGGGGGGGGATGCAGCTTTACATGCATTCATAATCTATGATTCACTAATCACACAGTCTCCCTTTTTTTGCTACTTTTGGTGCGAACCTTCCAACTACATCCATTTTGAAAATATTATGAAGGACATTTGGTTCGGTGACGGTCCCACGGTTGGGGGGGGGGGGGATGAAACTATTCTGGATATCAGCTACGTATGCATTAGGAGTTCTTAGAATGCTTTTCGGATTTAAAAGCCTTTAGCCTTAATTCATAGAATGAGAAAGTATAGTAACCATCAGTGGTGGCAGCCGCGCCCCGAAAATTTTTTTAGCTAATTTGAATTTTAAATTTTAAAAATTATTGTAGTTGATTACAAGAATAAATAAATCACTTGCACATTTCAATAACCTGTGTAAGTAAATTTCAAAAATTTTGGGACCCATGCCCTCCCCCCTCGAACCGTCCTAGTAGCCGTGTCTCGGGATATTGTTCTGCAAAGCCAATCCATTTTGATAAGATTTACAATAATGGGACTTATAACTAAAAATTGGTAACCTGCAATAATGTTACAATTTATCGCTTTCAAAAACTCTCCCCTCTCCCACTGCTTTATCATATTTTTGAGAGAAAACTGTGTTTTAAACATATTTTATCATTTCGTCTCATCTTCTAATGGTCACCTCTCCAGAATTGGTCGATTACGAGTAAATATACAAATCCTGGACGCCAATGACAACGCTCCAATGTTTACAAAACCTCGCTACAGTATCGCCATTCCTGCAAATACGAGCATTGGATCACAAATTCTCACTCTGAAAGCTACCGACGCTGATGTTGAGAATAACGGAAAAGTAGCGTTTCGATTTCAGAAGGTACGGCATCTACATAACTCTGTAAATTTTTTATATTTTTTTGCTGATCAAGAAAAATTTGCGGAAGCTTCCAAGCATATTCAAACTGCAGCAATCGTATATATCATTTGCGAATTCTTCCGGATTTGTTATGCATCGGGCAATTCATCACTGCCAATGATATCTCTGAGTGCCTCAGTTCCTCTGGGATTCATAATGCGCAAGAGTTCATTCGCAAGGGTCAGATAGCAAAGGAGCTGAAAAATTCATAAAATATTAGGCCACCATGACAGTCTTTGAGGACAAAAGTAGGGAATGAAAAACAGCGAAATTGGCATAAAATGTACTACTTCTTTTCTAGTTTTCTCATAAAGTTTATCTTCCAGACCCGAAGCGACATATTCCCATTATTCTCGCTTTCATCAAGCGGTGTCCTTTCTACAGCCGCGCATCTTTTACCTGGAACGGTGCACGATCTAGTAGTTGTGGCCTACGATGAAGGAGTACCGTCTCTTGAGACGACAGCCATTGTGACAGTTACCGTACAGGGTAAGTGCATGGGAATCTTAGTGCTTGCGTAGTTTCAGATTTCTTCTAGGCACATCGCTGACCGCACCTGCAGTGGACATCATCTGGTTGACCGAGACGGCAACTGCGCATTTTTTGGAAAACATCACGCTGGGCACGATTGTGGCAAGACTTAGTCTAAACGAAGAGCAGAAAGACAGGTTGGGCTTACTTTCTTTACTCACAGACGCGGGATGGTGCCTAGTTTTGCTTAGTATAATACATAGACCGTGATTGGATGGATTAGGGTGTAAAATATTGAGAGAACATTGAATTATTACTTCTTATTATCCTACACTTCAGTCATTGTCATTGGTGCAGTGAATCGTTGTCTTTCTTACATTTTTTGTGATTTACATTTGCCAATTCACCCATTACTGCATAATGGCGTATGAGCGAAAGACCCTTTTGCACCTAATACCGTATGCTACCGCCTCTTGCATTAGTATGACTCAGCTTGGGAGCGAGCGCAACATGGCCTATCAATAGCGATTTTGCTTGCAGGTAGAATTAGAATGCAAAAATAGAAAATTTTATGGTATACTGCACGAAGAATTTACGAGTGTGTTTTGCATGTTCTCGACATTGCACACGGTAGCTTACTGTAAGCTGCGAATGTGCCGCTTTGCCGTACAGGTGTTAGAAAATGAGAAGACTAACTATTTTTAGAACTTTCTCCTTCTTATTTACAGGGTATGTCCACGAAAAAGTAGATAGCGTAATAGTAAATAAATAATAAATAGTAAATAGCGCAAAGTCCTAGATTTAACTGGATTACCTGCCTGGCAAACTATGTTACCTTCTAAAGAATTAGAACTGCTAGTCCTGGGTTTACATTACTTAGGCTAACATTACGCGATCTTAACCTTGTAGTCCTAATGTCACGTAATGCTGTTGTTGCTAAGGCAAAGGGTTTCATATCTCCAAAAATAATTCCAATCCATATCCACTGGTAATAAATCTATTTCAGTGTTGTCACTCTCACTGGATGTCCATCGCTTTGCCTGCGACAAAGTCAGTCGCCATCGGTCTATTTGCTCCTTGTTTGTGGCCTTTTCGATCGCGAATCCTCTCCTGAGTATCATCTGAAGTTCAGTTTGAAGAGAGACGACGAACTCGTTCTTGAACATCCTGTGCTCCTTACTATCGGTAAAGCAACAGCATTTTAATTCTTTCAAAAGGCATAATATCTAAATTTTTGTGTTCTAGGTGACATCAACGACAATTCACCGATATGGCCACACTCTCATATGCACGTCACGCTGAATCGTTCAATCGCGATTTCCGACCAAACCGCGTCGCTGACGGCTACAGATCCAGACCAAGGTGTCAATGGCAGAATTCGCTACAGCATACTTGATTCGGACATTATCGCAATAGATCCCGATACTGGCCGACTTACACCGTTGAAGGAGGTTAGAGCTTGAAGGAGCTTGAAGATTTGCAGCTTGCAGTATTTGATTATCTGAAGTTCAGTTTAAAGTTATTTTTGATTACTTGTTCAGCTCGACTGCTCATTGGGACAAGAGATTCGTTTCAAAGTTCGAGCAGCTGATGGCGGTGTGCCAAGCTTATACTCAGGTAATCCCTATTGTCATCAACTTTATCAAATGTATGCGCATATGTCCACGTTCAGATTGAGAAAAATTAGTTACTCGATTTGTGTTGTTGAGCGCTGAGAACAAAAAATACCATGACATAAGCAAAATCGTGCGAAAATGTGTTGTCATGGCGAACACTGTCTTTTGTTTCTCGCAAAGATCACATTATTGAGTTTCTATCTCGACATTCAGTGGATCCCGGCATAATTCACTTATCACCTTGTTGGGAGTTGCTAGATTGTGTGGTTATAATGGGCATAACGATGTAGCTTGTTCGGCCAGGGTTTTCTTCCCTTCCTAAACCGTCCTGGAGAAATTCTATCCCTCAATATTCACCGCTGTTGAGTTCACAGAACTTCCTGCTATACAAACTTCCTAACCTGGTCACATAGTATCTCAGGGGACACAAACCTTTGCCAAGAGTTTATGATCCCTCCTCAGATTAGATCATCCAAAGTGGTGAAGTGGAAAAACAGAGGGCTCAAATTTCGCTTTTTCCCAGCTTATCCTCCCCTTGCTTTTCTCTTATTCGATTCGTAGTACCAACAATTTGGGTGACGGGGTAATTCGCTAGTTTGATTAGCTTCCAAAACGCATCAAAACTTTTTAGAAAATTCCAAATGTTGTGACCATACATATATCTCAAATAGTAGAACCCATAAGTTGGGAAAAGCTAGACATTTTTACGCGCAACTCATCCAATGTTGAAAATTTCCCTGAAATTGCAATGCTGTTAGTGTTTTGAACCGAGATAGTACAGATGCGGTTAGCAATTCGTAAAGAGCAATCTAAATGGTAATAGAGGTGCAAATGCCTATCGCCGCTATTAATTTCATTTCCAAAATTCTCGAGTTGGTTGGTTGTTACTGTCGATGACAGCCAGTTCTATGGCCTACACCACTCTTAAACTCGAAAGGTAGGTGGGAGCAGTAGTGGCAAATTCACAATCAATTACGAGTAAGCTAGACTAATTCCGAGGCGGTTCCAGAAATTTCATCGAGAGAGCCTGGAAGTGATGTGTCACTCTGAAGAATTTTTGAATTTTGAATTCTTTATCACGTTTTTGAAAATGTAAGAAGGACGGTTTCAAAACGATATGAACAAGTTTCTCCTATCTACCGATCCAAACTCATTTTGGGTCGGTAGATAGGGGGCAGCCAACATAAATGATAGCTAGTGCCAGCCATATGCGCTGCGTAGGTCAAAAATTTTTCAAATTCTATATTTACGCTATGATGACATTTAGGAATTCGGAAAAAACGCTTAAGGGGCCCTAATCTTTACTTTTGGAAACCATTTTCAATCCAAAAAGAGCATATCGTTTCAAAAATAAGACTTTATGCGCGGAATATTGACAACCGCAGGAGTACAGAATGCTTATTTCCAGCTATCGTTCATCTTGGCACACACCCAAAATGAGTTCTACTTTCAGATTTGCAAGTGACTGCCGACCTCGTCGATGGTTACGGTCGTCCTCCACTTTTCCAGAAATCGCTCTACGAGGTGGAAATCTCCGAGGAAAGCGAGATTGGCACATGTTTGCTAAAGGTAACCATTAGCTCTCTCGTATCAGCACAACCAATCATAGCTCGATCTTTGTTTGACTACGGTATGATCCGCAGCTGACAGTTCTCATCGCTCTGTTTGCATACATCAACCCTTACATGAGATGTTTGCTCGATTAGCTGCCATTTGGTCAGTTGACAGCTTGCTTGGAGGTCAAGCAATGTTTGACAAGGAGTCTTGGTCATTTGTAAGGGGTATAATGGCTTTATTTGGGAATTTGAAGGCACAAAAATTGTTCTACAGTAGGAACGAATAGTTTGGCATGAGAAAATTTGGCAGAAAGAACAAACACGACTAGTAATTTGGCACTGAAGCACACCAGAAGAAGTAATCGACAAATACACGCTACCGTATACTTATCGTATACCTACCGTACATCTAAAGCTGACAAAAAATTACACTAACAATACAAAGTGCTGTATTTCCTATCACAAGTCTAATTTTAACTAAACAGTGAACTAAGTGAGCCCAAAATCATTTTTACAGCATTATTTACTGGGTGGTTTCTTAGCCGACGGTGGTCGCTTGGCGCTCCCGGCTCGCGGAGCTCTTGCCGCCGGGCTGCCGCGACTTGCGGAACGTGACCTCGATTTACCGGTCGCTGGTCGCGCCGCTGCTTCATCGAGCATTTCCAACATATCGGCGCCTTTCCCTTTCTTTTTCTTTTCCTCGCTTGAAGTCAATTTCATCTGAAACACCGCTTTTTAACAAACGGCTGTCGATACTCTCTGCTTGGTTATCTTGAGGAGCAGCAACTTTTTATGTCGCCCGATTCCCTAGGGGTCCTAAGCGATTGAAATGAATTCCGCAACAGAAAGCGTATGTTTGACTGAATGTTAGAGCCCGAGGGACTGAAATTTGAGAAACGGTCTCACCTCTGACATGGCTGTCGAAATCGATTTTTTGTCTTTGGAAGCATCGATTCGAAGAACATTCTTCAAGCTAGCTTCTGTTTCCTTGATGTAGGCCTTCTCCTCAGTAGTTGAATCGAACATGTCCAAGTCAACTTCACCTTCTGAAAGCGAGTCGATATAATCAAAGGAGTTAATTTCAAGTAGATAAAGACAGGTGAAACTTTGAACTGTTTGATACTGCAGACTTTTGTTGTCCTATATATAATCAACTGTACTATGGTACTGAAATAGTGGAACGCATGCTTGCGGAAGGAATTTAGAAAACATAATATTGGGTAAAAAAGGTACTGTACAATTTAACGATAGTCATACTATTGGCATTCGAAGGATATGGGTGCTTAGGATTGACAGGGTTCAAAATGATGTTCAGTCTGCCTATATACATATGTGCCCCCCCCCTAGAGTGAGTCGCGAAATTTTTTGAAACTTTCTTATACGGGCTACAAAAATGCGCAAGTGGCTTGTTTGTGGCCAGCGCCCGCACCTTTACTGGAAAATTTTTTGTCGCTTCCCACCCCCTGAAACGGATTTTCAGGGGGAACGCCACTGGTGTTTCTGTAGGTGAATACTAAGGGGGTATCTCAAGAAATGCGATTGTTATTTTATTGCTTGACTTATACCAGATAGAGCATCTTTGGTGCTTAGTAACTTTTTAAAAGCCTTTCATTCTGGAAAATTTTTTAAGTTTGTTGTATGAGCGGTTTAGCCTCACTGTGTTGAAATAGATTCAAAAATAAACTTTGGGTATCAAAAATCCGAGAAATGCAATAATTGGCAACTTCGTAAATATTTCGATTGATTTTCACCAAAATCCGTCAAACCTACATAGCAAGTGGTAACTCCAATTAGCTAGTAAGTAGATTTTGAATGACTGCATAACTCTTATTTGGGCTGTTGGATTGATGTTTTTAGAGAACGGGCTAGATAATTATACCGTGCCATAAAAATGGTATGTGAGCCCTGGCTAAACTTTAATGCTGAATTTTTATGACGCAAATAAATCATATGAGCTGGAGATTGTGCAATGATTTGGTGAAAACTTTCTGCTTAGGTTCATACGAAAAACCCGAATGAACCCTATTGTTTGAACACTTCCATAGAGCTTTATAATAGTTAAGAAAATTTGTTAATATCTGAGTCATATAGATGAATGTCAGCGAGGAATCGGAATCCCGTAGGAGCCCTATCATAAGCTGATTAGGTATACCTACTGATTAAAATTTATCTTTCGAACCTGTAAAAGTACAAGAACCATTGTATGCCACCACTATTGTTCTTTGTGCACTCTACTCAGACTTTGAGAAGGTGGAAATTGAATGTAGCGATTTTCCATTGTGCAGAACTTTTTGAGGGAGAAAAAAATGAAAAGATTTGTTGTAGCGTACAAATCGAACGTGAGGACTATGAAAAAACCGTTATCACATTTACTCGAGAGTGCTAAGGGTTTGTGAAAAGAAGAACATACCAAAATAATTTTGAAAACTGCTTCTATTGTTACCACAGTCAGACACATCGGTTTTTGGGATCCAAATAACTAATCTAAGCAATTTAACCTTCAAAAATAATGCCAGCTTGTAAAGGTCGATGGGCTCGCCTTTCTCAAAGCGGAAAAATATGGAGAATTTTTATGCTGGCGGTATTCACAAATGTTCGGCTGGTATTATAATCGACAACAGTGTTTACTTAGCTCGCCTTTACCATTGACAAATATTAACTGTGATCAAAAAAAACCTTTCTATAATTTCTTTTGAATGCGCTACAAAAACCTTTTTGGCCACGAAAACATCCGAGACTAATGCTAGCTGTTTCGCTCTGAATATCAGAAGATATATCCGTTACCCAAGTCCTTTAAAAGGTCTACTGTATGTACGTATCGTGCTACGATCTTGCAGTTTGATTTTTCTACGCTTCTTGTCAAATGTGTGGCACACCTTTCTGCACCTTCGAGTCAAACGAAAGTGGATTGGAGTGGGGAAGGAGGGGGGGGGGGAGCGTAATTGTGTTTTCAGTGCTAAACAGTAAATTCTTCAGATAAGATATTTCTGGAGCGCGGAGATAAGGCATTAAGTTGTCAAATCTGGGAAATTGCGATATTTGACCGAGGAAAGCTTGAAACTCAAAAAGCTTTTATTTTTGACCATTTAGATTCGCCCCAAAAATTCTCATGACATTTTAATAAGAAGATTAAGAAACAGATAAGGAAACTAGTAAACATTTTGTTATCCCATCTGCTTACAAGTAAAAATTACTTAGTGATTGTGGCCTTTCACATTGAGGAGAATAGCAGTAGATGCGCCTTTGAATGCTAGTTCGAGAACTGCCTTTTATATCTGCGAAACAATTACCTGGCCGGAGTCATAATTATTTTTTCGAGTATAAGTAATTCTACTGGAGAAGGCAAAATCAACAGTTCAAAAGTTTCTCGCTTTCTAGCTGCTGATTATGAATGAAGTAGTCTAAATGCAATGATACTTTGCCTCGGTTTTTTTGTTTCGTAGCATCAGGTGTAAACTATAACAAAAATGGGAATTTCAACTACCCCCATAAGCGCGAATTTTTAGTAGAAAAATTGACACAACTTCCTTTTGAGAATCGTTTCGCAAAAAAATGAGGCAAATCTGAAATCAGCGTTTTGACATGCATCTCGTGATATAAATAGCACCTCGAATGGCCACGGTCACTAAAAATCCTCCCTCCTTTTCATATTTTGCAAGAGATCACACCTCAAGTATCTTTCTTCTCTGGTCATCATCTCAAATCTTTATGATCCAAGTGTTTGAGACTGCACATAGTATTTTCAAATTGCGCCTATGTGGCTGCTTTCTCAAGCCTTACAGTTGTTAGGCTTTCCTGGAATCAATGCTCTTTTGATCTTCCCATAATCAGAGCAAGCATCTTCTTTTTGCATTCTTATTGGTAGCAGCAGGGCTTCATCAAACCTTATCTAGTTCACACAAAGAACGGGTTTCTATCCCCCGTCATCAACATATGCATATAGCTAGCTACCCCGCTCCGTTGACTATTCTTTCAGCTAACGAGAGTATAATCTGTAGCTGGATATAGCAGTGTTGGTTACCACGGCGACGTTGATAAGTCCTTATTGAAGCCTGCGCCAGTATAATTATGAAGATGAAGTGTACTGATCACAAACCTTGAGCTTTGAGTGAGTTGCCAAAAAGCGATTCGAGCAGTTTCATCTCATCACCGTACTGTACTGGTTCCGCTTTTGCCGTCCCACCACCGCCATTTATCTGAAAAATTGGGGTTGTTTTTGAAAAAAAGGTCGAGAGAGGATATGTAGGAATCAGAAATGAAAGAAAAAAATAATGCCGCAAGAAATCCCCCAATATATATCATACCACGATTATTGCGATTCCTTGAGCTGTTAATACTATAAAAAGCGAAAAAATTTGAATCACAACCTAGCAATAATAAACACGTAATACAAAGGAAATGAGAGTCGATTAGTTCAAGGAAACTGTAAAGAATTTTCAGATACTGCGCATTACATAGTTATTTGCTACATTACAATAATAACTCCATTCTTCCGCCGTCTGGCAAGTACATACGGATATTGCGCTATTGGGTTGATAATCAGGTTCTACAAAAATAATTATGAATACACAAAATTTCCGAATCATAAATTTCTATTTTTATATTGGAGAAAGCAGTTTTCTTGTAATTGTATTTATGGCGGCTTGTGTGAATGCGCAGCTGTTGAAGCTAAAGTGTACAGTTAAGAAAATAAATCACAGAAGCTAGAAAAAAATCAGAGCGTTTTCCAAGAGGGAAGAGACCAAACATATTTCTGAGTGAAAAGCTTTCTTTTAACTTTGTTCGATGACACTTTTTTTAGTCCTCAAAGAAAAGCTCTCGAACTGCTTTGATATATGCAAGTACAATGATCTGTTTCAAACTCCATTTCTTTTCTCCCTTAAAAATGAATTCTTGATTTTCTAAGTATTTCCCATATCTCCATAAAGAATGACGCTAACATTTCCATGCTGGCAAATTTGTTGATTGTTAAGTAATTTTGAATAACACAAATAATTACGGAATTACACGCTCTAAAACAGCTTCATAGAAGTTCTTGACGTAATGCCTTTTCACAATGAGCATTAGAGAAATTCTTTCACTGCAAGGTATTTTACGAAAAATTGCATATTGCACAAGCTTGTACACATTTGCGTAACAGATCGTTTACCAATTTAACTTGAAGGCTACCCAAACGAGTTGGTGTTTTACCCTATGTTGGTATTTCTGCTCATCGTTAGAATCAGATGTTTAAGTTATGTCAGTGCATTGGTTGCGACTGAGAGACTTCTATTAAATAAATTTTTGGAGTCTTCGAGGACGCTGATGAGTTTGGATGATAAATCTTAATAAATAAGATTGGTGCCATAACTTTCGACACTAAGTATAAACCTACAGTTTCAATCGACTAAATTCTATCAAACATCATTTCTTCTTCTAGCTTCTAAGCTCAAAGAACTGACCGGAACATCCGCAGAACGTTTAGAACAGTAACGGTGGGTCACCTGCAGAAGTTCCATAAACGTTCTGCGAAAATTCCCAAATAAAGTGCTGCGGAAGTTCTGAAGCCTAACAGCGAAAGAGGACGCCTAAGCAACTTTAATCCTTGTTCTGTTGACTGCGAAACTCACTTACTATCCTTTGCATACGGATGACATGCTCGCCAATACACTCTAGTTGTTGGCGAGTTAACAACATAAGGTACAATACCAAAACCTGCGGAAGTACTGGCAGGTCAAAGTGCTGCGGAACTGCTAACATTTTTCGGATTTTTCTCAGCGTTTTGTGACAAGTCCTGCAGAAGTTCCCGTTTTCAACCAGTATGACGTGAAATCCTGCGGAAGTGCCCATTTTAAACGTTCCCACTTATGTGATAGTAAGAAATCCTGTGGAATTGCCGCAAATTTTCCTTGTCCTTCGGAATTTCCGGTGAATTGTCAGTGAGGGCTGTGCCTGATTGCGAAAGTTCGTAAGTTTACGACCATTGCTCAATACGCCAACAAAACTTTAGTTTTACTCCTTTCAAACACTCTTCTATAATTAAATTTAGCTTTCCATATTTGGAAGGATTCTGAGAAGTGCGGGGGATGATGTCGCTTATTTAAATGGTTTTTGGCCTTGTGGCATACTGCATAGGCAATGTCGAGTCGAGGGAAAGTACTGGCAGGTCAAAGTGCTGCGGAACCGCTGGCATTTTTCGAATTTTTCTCAGCGTTTTCTAACAAGTCCTGCGGAAGTTTCCGTTTTCAACCAGTCTGACGTGAAATAGCAAATGCTGTGTTTCAGCATTCCTTAAACGCTTTAGCCGATACGAACTTCATATTCTGGTAAAGCTCCATATGAATAGCAAATGGCGCTATAGCATTGTAATTCTGGATGAGATTGCACCATACAGGTCCACCCCGTAATTCTCTGGGAATCTTCCCCTTCCCTTTAGCCCAACGTTTTCAATCTCATCGAAATCCAGGTGTGAATTAATCTCCAGGCGTCGCTATTTTATATCATAAAACGTTGTCATAGTTACGACATTTTTATCTGCTGGCATTGTATAGCGAAGGTCTCTGAGGGGTTCATATGCGTACAAAGCGAATGAAAAGAATTGTGTTCACTCACATTTACGCTCATTTCATTCGTGAAGATACTCATACCGAGTGTCGTCGAGCGTACCTCAGCGTCGAGATTACGGCTTTCCTATAAAGCATCAGTGATTAAAGATTAGCTGATCCAGGAGGAGGGCGAAAAGAAGAGAGAATTTACAGGGTGCTGTAGTGGGATGTATGTTCTGGTTGTCGGCCACTGAGTTGTTTTGACTAATTCTCCATTTTCGTAATATTTTGTGACTCCGGGGGTTTCGACGTCGGGTGGCAACTCGATTGGATCCCTGGAATTCAATGGGTCACCTAAGAAGTTAAAGCTTATGTTAAGATGAAAATGGAATGAATCCTACCGGTGAAGGGCCGGGCATACATCATGTAATTTCATCGCTTAGCCATTCCCGCAGCAAGACAACTGTTACGAGCTACTGCATGCCGATCAACTCGCAACTCGGTTGTGATAGTTAGACGGGATTAGTGGTGTCGGAAAACTATCACAAGCGAAATGCAAGAGGATCAGCATCAATGAAGCGATAACAGTTGCCTTGTTGAGAGAATCGCGAGGCGATGAAATCGCGTGAAGTATGTCCGGCCCTTAACTTCTCGGTACTTAGTAGTCGTGAATCATGGTAAGTGCTCAGAAATGATTTAGATTCTTGTTTTCAAGAAGGCGGATTTTCCGATTTAGTCAAAGAAAGTGCCGTTATCTACATTGATAATTTGTTTTTTCATCTCTTTATCAACTTACTTCTCCGGTAAGTAAACAAAATGGCCATCATCGAACTGTTTCTCATCCCTGAGCAAAACCGAGACCTTCACCCGGCAATCCTAAAATATAGACGAAATAGACCATTACCGTACGATTATCAGAGTCATCAAAACTGGGAAGAACGCTCAATGATTCTAACCAAACTTCAGCCTACCTGAAAAAAGTTGAGCATTTGATGTCGTATCATGTTCCATTCGGTGAGCGACACTGGTCCGTAAAGCATTAGAAACTAAAATACAATTATTGTTATAACCTGGCCTTGAAGAACACGAAAGTCGGTGGTGAAGATGAATTTTACTATATTATGGCTTTTAGTTCTGATATAGTCTTTTGAGTATAACAAGGGAAACATTCCTTTGAAAGAAGGTAAATACGCTTTTGAATACCACTGGCAAGGATTAGATTGTAAAAATGAGCATGGATAGCTATTCTAGTGAATAACGAAAAGAGTGAAGCTTGGAAGGAATCCAAACTAGTAGGAAAGAGATCATTTTGATATAGTTCCAGAAACAGATATACGAGGGATGATCAAAACTGTCAAGGCTTAGGCTGGCAATAGACCAGCTAATGTTGACCTTTGGAACAATTAGCTAGCTCATTGCCAACCCCAAACCAGGACTGGGATGGGTGGATGAGAGTTGGAGAGGAGGCAAGAGTGAGAGAAAATATAATAGTAAAGGAGATAAGAAGAAAACTAAGTGAAAAAAGAGCAAATCTGGGTAGATTTTCAAAATTCTAACTAACCATAGCATGCGCGTTGCGAATCAGCTCTTGAATATCGTCTTCTTGCTTTGCAATTCGCCTCATTCCACTCAGATGGTTCATGGTAACCGTAAGAATCTAGAAATAGCCCATATAAATAATACCCAGTTTGGGTAAAAACTTACCTGCTCAGGCATCACCACCGATTGGATTTGGTATTTGGTCATCATCAAAGTGAGATCAAACAGCTTCTCCATGCTGAAATCTCAACTTTACAGTACGGTATTCCTACCGTACTCGGCGTCCTACCTGCTCTCGCTCAGCCTCATGATGCTAGAATGTGCCAGCCGTTCGAACATAGCTCGCATATGCCGGCGAGAGAACATTTGTTGGGGTCTAAATTCAAAAGAAATTTTATTTTCTTCTTCAAATCAAAAAATTACCGTAGATGTGCTTACTTGAAAATCTCATGCAGATATTTTTGTTTGAGAGTTTGGCTTATGATATCATGTAGTACTAGGTCTCCTTTCTCCTCGGCGATGTTCCTTTGATTCTGAAAATAGCAGCGATTTTCAGTTCTGTTGTAGTTCTAGAGATTTCTGGTTTGAAGATGAGTTCAGCCTTAATAAGATAGCTTAAAGGCGGGGGTAGAACCCCAAATGAGTCTTATCACAGTAATTTCTGCTTTTATATCTCTACAATGTAGGGGGATTAACCTATCATTAACACTCGTTGAATGCCAAAGAAGTCTATAACAAACTTTTTTGCACTGAAAACAATAATTTTCTTTGTTATCCTCCCAATATCTCCTCCCACACTTTTCCTTCTATAAACTTCCCCTTCGTCGTATTTACCCTTTACCCACTAATCCACCCTACGCTCTGAAATAATGATGATGAAGAACGTTCATTGTATGCGCTCAGATAACGCGGATATATGTTTGACCTAACAAGGGAAGTCACTTAATTTAGGTCAGGCTTTTGAAATGAGACACATATGGTTGGAAACAGCTTGAGACGCTGATTCCAAATATGCTATCCTTAGCTGCGAAGCTTTCCTCTAAAGCGAGTTATGAGCTTTTTCCTGAGCAAATTTTGCGTGTTGACCGACTTAGGCATGCTACCGTATCATCATCTAGGTAGTGGTTCAAATGCATATTATACCCTATCAAAGTCAAATTACTCAATTTGATATTATTTTGATTTTCCACCACTTTTTGGGCAGATTTTCATCTAAAGACCTTTCCATAGTCACTTGTATGTCAATGGCACATACTAAAAAAGCTCATAACTCGCTTCAGTGGAACGCTTCGCAGCTAAGGACAGCATATTTGGAATCAGTGTTCCAAGCTGATTCTAAATATGTCTGTCTCATTTCAAAAGCCCGACCTAACTTCCCTTGTAAGGTGAAAGGCATGAAAAATTCATCTTCAATCTTCATCCCATACCGTATCCTCCATCGTATTCGAGGACGCTGTTTCGCTGGAAGGAATACTGTCTGGGAAGAAGTTGATAGTTGAATTTCTTAGTCGCGAATGGATAATGTGAGCTGCTTGACAATGGATAGAAGGCATGAGAGAGAAGGGAGAACAGTTACTAAGTATAAGATTGTTGAAAGTGTCCAAGCAAATCTGAACACCCAACTTCGCCCTTGGAAAGTTTTTGGGAGCCCTCAATTAAGCCATTACCCAAGCAGCATTTCATATGGTTCACTGGAATTTGGATATAGACTGTAGCACACAACGTACTGCTTCCAAGCGGACTAATCAGGTTCTTCGATTACTAGAAAGTACTTTATGAGCTGCATCATAAAACTGAATTTTTGATGGCTAAATTGACCCCTTCCAATCAGTCTTAAAGTCAGGTATAAAGTTCTGTCCAGACCATACTCTTTCCAAGGACCAATCGGTGTTCTCGAATACTGAAGAAAGTACGGTATGGATTGATATACAGTTGAATTTCTCAATCACGTAGTAATCATACAACCTCCCTTTCGAGCATAATTCAGTTGAGGCTTTAAAATGCGTTTTGTAAATATGCAGCTAGAAACTCCTGTCCAGATCGTACTCTTTGCAAGGGAATCAACCAACGTTCTCAAGTAAGAGATAGAAAGTACGGTATGTGCGAAAGTTCAGAAATGTTAGTAAGCTTCATTTTTTCGATTTCTTATTCAAGGTCTTCCACCTGACTTTACAAAAGTCCTGGTAAAGTGGATTGTCTGGGCACTGCATCATAGCAATATGTTCGTTTGTTAACATTTAAGTGGTTGTCTCACCTTGATCCTTTGCTCCAAAATGTAGATCATTTCTCCAGCCATGTTCAAATAAAGTAGCGGAAAACATTTTAGGCTCATGTTTCACATAAAATTTTCCAAAGTTGGTGAATTCTCTGTCGAATCAGAATGTGAATTGACAGCAGTAAAATATCTGAAGCAGGCTAGAATTTAGTAGCTAGCTGACGATAATGAGCAGATGCGTATCATGCGAATGAGGTGCGTAACGGCCGACGGCTGTCGCGGCATGCTACTAGCTCTAGCCAAGCGGCGCTAGCTCATATGCGTTGTCATAGCGACACGTTCTTTTCCCTAATCAAAGCCGTTGATTGCAATGATGTTGATGTATCTGTGAGCTGCAGCTCACCACTGAACCAATTGGGAACAAAATATGTACTTTTAAAAGCACTAAATTGTAAAAACCCGGGATCCTGGGTTTTTTATATAGAAACCAATTGAAAGCTCTTAGCCAAGCCATTGCCCAAGTAGCAGCTCAGTTGAAGCATTCAAGGGCTAGTAATGCAACTCTAAACTGCAACCCATACCGTACTCTTTTCGTGCGGATCAATCGATATTTGCCTGTGTGCGCGGGACGACCGCATCGTACGGTATTGAACAGCCAACCTGCGTGACTTGTTTTGACATCTCGCACACGCGCAAACTTCCCTTCTTCTTGAATTTTCTGGGCAGAAGCCATCCAGCGGGTGTTTCATGCACTGCTGTACTTTATGGAAAAGCTACACTCGCACGTGTCGGTGTTCACTCGTATACGGTTTGGGCTTGAGTTCAGAGTCAAATTTCTTGACTACGAATAAATTGTATAAGTCGCCGCTTGGGCAATAGCTTTGTTAATTCCTTCCAATATCTTTCCATTTAAGAAACCCAGGTACACAATTCTCCGGACACTGCTTCTGATATATGGTAAATACGAGAAATACAGTAATCTTGCTTCAGGTACAAGCAACCAACAGTCTCTGTGGCGGGTCAAATCGTCTGCGATACGCTTTCCAGGATGGTGGAGATGCCACAAAGGTTGGTCATAAGGAACTAACCCTTCCCCCCCCCCCCCTGCTGAAGTCTACTGTTGTTTAGCTGTTCAATATCGACTCCACGAGTGGCACCATCTGCCTGGAAAAGAAGCTTGACTTTGAAAAAGAGATCAGTCATCAACTTACTGTAGCAGCTATTGATCAGAGTAAGTTTGTATGCTGTGTAGAATATACAATCTGCTTATCACTAAAGTTAAAAATGCTCCAGAAATGTAGAAAACCACAAAAGCTAATTTATATAAGTTACAAGCAAACGCATGTCACTCTATCAGTTTTCGCATCTAACCGTACCATAGAAAGAAGTATGCTCACTTTTCAAACCTAACCCTCCAAAGTGGTAAATTTAAAATGCAGGACAACGTCGACAATTCATAGTTTGTTACAAAGTAGGCTGATTATGAGAAACCTTAGGCTCTGATAAGAATCCTTTTCACACTTTTGAAATCTTCTCATACAGCAAAAGCGCACTACTGAAGCCTGCAAAGTCTTCAAAGGAAGAGCATCATCATTCCTGCATTCTTCTTAGGTATTGTAATTGCACCAAAGATATTTTCAAATTACAGGTTTCGTTTTGCAGATTGTTAGCTGCTCATTCTTTGAAAGTGCTTTTGCGTGAAATATGACTACTGCTGAATTCCGAAGTTCATCTGACAGTCCATTCTGCCGTCTGTCTGTGTCAGAACACATTGTGCTATAATTGTGCCGTACTTTCCTGGTTGCTTTTAAGTCAAAAATGTTTACGTCATCAGGCAGCATTTGGGTATTTGTGCATTAATGAACAAATACTCAAATGTCCCGCTTTACAAAAGAACAACTGATGGCCTCTTCCTTTTGTTTATCCTTAGCTAAACTCATCTTAGCTATTTACTTTTTGAGCATCGTGTAATTACCGCGCTTTGCAGACGGTGCAACTGGTACATGTCTGGTCAGCATACGAGTGCTCGATGCCAACGACAACTTTCCCATTTTCTTTCCCACGGAGTACAACATCACTGTGCGAGAGAACTACAAGCCTAGTGGGCCTTTGGTGGTACTTTCAGCAACGGATGACGATGAGGGAAACTTTGGGGAGGTGAGTATTATTCCTATTTATCCTTGAGGCGGCCAAAATTCCGTGCCAGCACCGCGTCAGAGTCGTGTCTGCGTCCCCGCTGTGGAATATTGAAAAGTTGGTTGACGGATATAGCGTGCTGCACATGAATTCGGGCACGATGCTGGCACGGTGCTGGGACGGCGGTGGTACAGCAGCCAACTCTGTTTGTTGCTAAGCCAACCGAGAAGGCAAAAACTTAAGCACTCATGATCAAATACTTAAAAGCTCAAAAGATTCTTCATTTTATTTGATAAAGCAAGTAAAAATGGCAAAACTTTCTCCGAGGAGAATACAGTAACAGACTACTGCACAAAGTCATTGTTTAATTTGGTCGATGGGACTCCAGCGCAAATTTTTTTGTATTTGAATTTTTATCAAAATTTTTACCTTTTCTTGTTCAAGGTGCACTTCTACCTGAAGAGCGGCGATCCTACATTATTCGAGGTCAAGAAGAAATCTGGCGAAGTCTTCCTTAAAAAAGGACTGTCACGTGGAAAACACGAGCTCACAGTTGAAGCGAAGGATGGAGCTGGATCAGCTGGCGAAGTAGATGTAAGGGACCAGGAAATTTGACTCTATCACAAAAAAGTGAAAATTTTTTAATAATGTGTGCATTCAAATGTCTTGATATCTTTAGGCACACGTCTATGTCTATGTGATAGGATCAGATGCTAGCGCTCCATCATTTACACAACCTAGCTATGTTATCAAGACTGCTGAGGACATTTTGCCAGGCATATCCATTGGAGCTGTGCAGGCTACGGGTCCTGGCACGATCCGATATAGGCAAGTTTCTACGAATTTTCTCAGATATCTCGTAAGTGGACTTTGGAAGTATACCTATAACTCATTAGGTCATCAAACAATACAAGTATTATAAATCGTCCGTGAAAATAAAAACGTGAAAAATGAGTCCGCTGCGCATTTACAAACGAGAGTTTAAAAAATACAAATTCAGCTACAAATCTGTGAATATTGAAGAGCAGCAGAGGTCCGAGACGTTTTTATAAAGAAGTTTTACAATACAAACTTGAATTTTTGAAGATTTTAGAATATATTCTAAATACTTCTGAGAGAAAACCAGTCACTTGCGCAGTTTTTTGATACTTGTAAGCTGCTTTTAAAACATTTTCATTCTCGCATGGGGGGGGGGGGAAGAGAACTCATCATAGTTTCAGTTTTTGGACATTCAGGGGTTTTGATGCCGTATAAAGCCCCTCTACAAAAAATCCCTTTTCAGCATTTATTCTGGGGATCCTAGTCATCACTTTATGATCCATCCAGAAACCGGTCGGATTACGGTAGCTCGCTATCTTGACGCAGACAAGCATGACAGAGTGGTCCTCAATGTTCAAGTAGGTTTCATCGTAGTCTCAGATCATTAGATATTCATTCCTTTTCAGGCTGATCTCATTAATGGAGGTTCGAACCACACCCAAGTTGTGATTTTGATTGAGGATCACAATGACAACACTCCAAGGTTCCCGATTGATCTGGTAGAGATTACTGTAAGCGAAAATCAGACAGTCCATGTCCCATTCTATATCGTGCATGCGACAGACAAAGACAAGAGAAAGGTAATACTCGATTTCGTTTTGTGTTTGGGTGATATCAAGTAAAGATTTTTTGTGTGAAAGCATCCTCATGATTTAATGAAAATTCTTCTGATGATGAAAATGATATACATTTTTAGAACGGTGCCATTTCTTACTCAATCATCTCTTCGCATCCTCCTTGCCCTGTCATGGTGCAGCCATTAACTGGCCAACTTCAATTGACCGATCAGCTTGATTTTGAGAAAATCAAGGACTACCGTATCCGAATAAAGGTATGTTTGATTGTGGTCCCGAACATTTTCCGTGCATCTCCAAAAATATCCAAAAAAACTCCGAGATTTGTTTTCTTCGGTTTCACGGAGAAGAATCTTTCCAAAAGGGATTTTTGATTGTGAAATAAAAGATAAATGGAGTTTTGCAAACAACATCCTGTGACTACAGATACAATACTTTCAAAAATCAAGCGCCTCGAAAGAAGCAATAGCTACAAAATTACCTTGACAATTTTTATTTAACAAGTGCTATGAAAGATTCTGTTACCTTTTGACGTGTTTGAAAGGAAATTTTCTTTGGTAAAACTAACAATGAACCATTTTCGTTTTGTGTAGACAGTAAACATAGCAGTTCATAGTTTGTGCAATATGTATGAGGTCCTGGGCATATGTAATACTAGCTGACTTTCCCGGTCAAGCCCGGGCCATTCACCTGCACTGCGAGTCCCCCCTCCCCCCCCCCCCTTACATGTTATAGCTGGCATACCCGGTTTCACTCGAGACTGGGTAGCCAAACCGTCACGCGGTATACACTTCCGAGCGAAATGGCAGGATTTACCTCTCCGCTGTCTTGCGCTTCACCTCCACCCGACCACCTCGCTTTGCTCTCCTCTCCTGCACAGAATACAACGTGCCTGAACACCTTTGGGAATAGAGGGGTCCACCAAGCGACTCACGTAGAGTCACCGCATGCTGCCTAACCACCGAGTAAGAATGAGATCTACCGTCCCGTTCACATGACTATGGTGAAATGACTTGATAGTGACTGCAGGCTTTCATTTTTCTAGGAGTTAGTAAACAAATCAATACGATGAAAGGACCCACGAATTTTCGTGTTTAAGTAGCCTAAACCGTCTCCAGGGTAAAAAACATCTGCGTGCAAAGTCGCAGCTCAGTCGGTTCAGCCGTGGGCGTTTCTATAAAGCAGTCACATACCCTCCAAACATACAATTTTTGAGTTTTATATATATAGAGATTTAACAGCTTTTCATCAACTCTAACATTTAAAGTGAGTCGATTCATGCGAAAAATACTCTAAAGTGCTTTGGAGAATAAAATAGCGTAATTTCAAAAGGGAGAACACGTTCTCTTTTTCGCAAAATTAAAGTAATTTTGACATATTTAGGCTCAAGACCACGGCGTTCCACCACGTTCATCCAATATGACGCTTGTGCTGCATGTGTCCGATTATAACGACAATGCTCCCATCTTTGAAAGAAAAATCTACGAGGCTGAAGTAGATAGACGTTCATGAGTAGAAATTAGATAACACGAGACCGTTGGATTCTAGGTACCCGAAAATTCTCCATCAATGACTGTAGTGCTCAAAGTAAAAGCCAGAGATGAAGATTCGAGAGAAAATGGTAGAATTCAGTATAGAATAACAAATGGATCAAGTGTGAGGCTTTTAATTTGAAATTCAAGATCTAGAACTTCTCTATTCTGTTCTAGGCCTTTGGCATCGATGAGAAGACTGGTGTCATCTATGTGAATGAGAATATAGACAGAGAGGTTCGGAATGTTTATGATCTCACCGTAACTGCTCAGGATCAAGGAAAGGTAAACTCTGTAATTTTCTTTCTATGAATTAGACCATAAGTTTCCCACCATAAGAACCATTTGAAGGAGTTCGAGGAAACATTTCAATCCATGTTTATGTCCATTTCAAAGTACATGATTTTCACTTTCTGTGCCTCAGCGAATGGGATGAATTTGTTCAAAACAAAAATTACGATTTCTCAATTCTGTTATGGTGGATTTATGGACAACCTAATAGTTTTAGATTATTACGTTGTTTATAGTTGTTTTTTGCAAACGGAATATCTGACACCGAACTAATTCTTATTTCTTCCTGATCCCCGATCCTTATTTCCAAGCTATTCCTTCTATATTTCAGCCACCACTTTCTTCTTCGGTTCCTGTCCGAGTCCACATCTCCGATATCAATGACAACGCTCCCTCATGCAATTCCATTGCGACAATGCTTGTGCCAGCTGATTCGGCTCCAGCTACGACTGTTGGCACTATCGTAATCACTGACCCAGACAATGGACCGAACGGCACCGTAATCTACCGTAGTCAACAATCGCATCAGCTTTTTGTTGTGAAGAGCAATGGCGAGTTGCAGTTCGAGATGTCCTCTCATTTTCTCGAATCTTTGAATGTTACGAATTTTTAGGAGATGTGCAGTTGCGGCGCGCTTTAACGGAAGCCGATCCCACCGATGTTCGGTTGTCCATAATCGCATCTGACCAAGGCAATCCGAGAAAATCCACCGTCTGCCATGTCCAGCTGCGTATAGGAAAAGGCACATCTACTGTGAAAGTGATAGAGCCGTTTGAAAGGTGCGTTTTGCTATAATGTTAAGCAAGGATATTTTTTAAGTTTCCGAATTTTTTGTGCTACAACAGATTGATATTGAAACACTTCATCTAAGCCTTGCGTTTGAACAATAAATAGTTATCATATTTTTAATGTTCAATTATTGATTTACAAAAGTAATATTGTGATCATGTCACAGATTTAAGTAATGAGAACCCATCAGTTGGTCTAAAAATTTCGTTCAATTATTCCCAATTAGCAAAACTAATTTGTGGTAAACAATAGTTTTATCGATTTTTAGGAATATACGAATGCCAAGCAACTGTTCAAGTAGTTGCTTTATTCGTCAGCTCAATGCTACGGGCGTTGCGAAATGGCAGATTCAGAGCAATGGTCAGTTTCTTTCAATGCAAGAATTTCTCCTTTATTATTTGATTTTCAGCCCTATAACTTTCTAATTGAATTGTTATAACTGAACGAAGATTTTTCTCAAAATCCGTAACAGCACTTCAATCATGGCAATCTTTGTACATGTGTCCATCCTTGGAATAAACACGCTTCGTCGCCTAGTACAATATACTAACGTAATTTCACTGATTTCTGACGCACATGTGCTTGTCGTGGTGTGAGGCTGTACGCGAGAATTTTTATATAGTATTTCCACCTAAATATTTTTTTGCTTTTCATTGAATGCGCATCACCTAGAATACGGTAGCATACAGTACATGATCGCAAAATAGGCTTTGTACCATAGAAGATAAGTTTTTTTAGATGTCTCAAACCACTTCACAATCAAGGATGGAAAATTCTTCATGTCTTCGCGTCCACAATCGCTTCCACCATGGCCATTGTCGCTAATTCTTTCCGACAAAGACGGGCGACAGAAACATTTATCAATCAGGGTATTAGAACCAAACACAGCGGTAAGCTTGGAAGTAATCCAGGTTCATCAAGTCGGAAGATTTCTAATTTTTTTTTGAAATTCAGACACCAGCAGAGCCTGTGAAGCTTTCTCCATTGCTCACCATTGGCTCAAAAGTTACGACTTTGAGTTCAAAGCTCAAGAAGAATAAGAAAATGGTGTACATGTTGAAGAACGAGGTAAAACTTACAAGTTCCTTCACACTCATCTTAAACTCACATCACAAATTCTTTTAGACCTCCGTCTTTGAGTTAGACCAAGCGACAGGAGATGTTTACTTGATGAAGAAGATTCAAGATTTGCAATATCGACAGATTTCTCTTTATTACGACCAAGTAGATGCAATGACATCCGAAACTGAAGAGAAACAGATCGATTTTGAAGTTGGAAATGGTTCTATTGAAGCAGCACCATACTTCAACGAAGATTTCGTACGGGTTACTGTATCCGAGGATGCTGTGATTGGTCAGTTTCCTGCATGATCTTACCGTCTAACTTTGTGCTAAACTCATAAACTTTAGGTTCGGTCATTGCCACTGTGAATGCTACTAGTACTGATCCTTTGGCTTCACCTATTTATCGATTGGCTGAGCCGAGCAATCGATTTGCTATTGATCAGTATTCCGGTGAAGTTAGCATCATCGAAGATCTCGACTGGAAAGAGGTGACTTGATATTACTACATGTATTTCTGAATATTGTTGAAAATAGTTTTAGATTTGTTTTTTCTTCATCCATGGCCTTAAAAAAGCTAAAATTTGATCAAAAGTAAATTTTTCAAAGCTAAATAGTCGTGCTCGATCGAATTTTTCGAAATCCACATGCCATAACGCAATTTTTCTGCTGGTTTTCTCTGCTACTGGCTGCTTCCCAAGAATTCGTTAGTTTATGGATGTAGGAGAGGGTAGTAAGAGAATTTTCCATTTTTTAAAGCAAATCTGATTTTTGATATCAACAAAAGTTGTGGCTCCTAGTTTATTAGGTTTATAATCCACCATTATCGAAAAAAAGGGCGGTCGTCTACAACAGCACTTATCTGAGTTTTGTAGAATGTTGAAAACATTATTTCAATCGTTTACAAACAAATATAACGTCGTTGCAGTCACCATATCACCTCGTGATCATTGCATCAACTGGAAGTGAAAAAACAAGCATGCTTTTGGATGTGGATGTATTGGACGTGAACAACAATTATCCACAAATCATAAGGTTTGTGTAACGAAATTTGTGCTTTTATTGAAGTCATCTGCATCCAATTTTCAATAATTTTCTATAATTTGCTTTATTATAACTTTTAATAATCAAAAGTCTTCGAATTTTTTGAACTTAGCCTATCTTCTACTGTCATTATTCTCATATAAGACTAAGATCATATTAATGCTGGCGACTTCTTATTTAGCACCGAGGACGTGATTACATTTGCCGATCCGGGGAGAATAATCTACTATGTGGTGGCCACAGATGATGATGACGGCAAAAACGCAATGATCTCTTACGAAATCATTGCTGATGCTTCGAACTGTTTTGGAATAGATCAGAAGAGTGGTGAGTGAAATCATGAGAGCCTTTCACGCTGAGCTCAGCTACAAGCAGGGTTCGGCACGAGCTGGCACCAGGAAAATTTCAAATTGAAGTTCCCTTTGATCGAAAATTCCATGCGAAGTCCCCCTTGATCCTAAACTTAAAGGTAAAGATCTCAATAAAACGAAATGTCGACTATAACAACGTCGCAATTTTTGTGTCTTTTCAGCTACAAAAACGATATCCCCTTTGCTTTTTTACCAAAAACGATTATTCAGCTTGATCTGATGCCAGCTGTGCCGAGCCCTGGTTACAAGTCTTATCTAGCAAGAAATACTGCAGTATTTTTGAATCTCGGGACATCATTCCACTTGTGTTTAATGGATTTTTGGTATCTGATACAAATGATACAAATAAAAGTTGGGCTAAAGCAAAAAAAGAGAATGTTGAAAAAATTCTTCTACCTTCATATACAACGAGGGAAAATCCAGGGGAATTATAAATTCAAAAAGTTTTCAACCTTGAGCGTTATGAAAACTCAATCCTAATTAGGTTTCATTATTTAGTAGGAGGTTAGACCTGCAGACTTTCGAACTTTTTGAAGGGAATCAGACCGTGACATAAAACTGCATAAATCTTCTTGCTAGATGCTGTTGAAGTAGAAAGTCTGTCATTTATGTGAGAAAGATTATTATGATTTGAATACCTGATGATCGTTCACCTCAAAGATCTGTCTACTATCAAATAAATCATTCTTTTAGTTTTCACATTCGTTTTGAACACGAAATTTTGTTTATCCTAAACAAAAGTAGTTTAATGCTTCGCAAACGATTGCTGTGACGAAGAAAATAATATTAATTTCCAGGTGCCCTCTCTATGTTACGACGGCCATCTTCTGCTGAATCAACAATTGTCGTTAGGGCATTTGACAATGGCACTCCATCTCTATTCGCCGATCAGACTCTGACGATACGGTAGGTTTTGGTATTGTTAACCCCGCTTCTCTTATGAAAAATTTTGTTAGCACCACAAACGGAAGCGAGAAATGGAGCTATTTTACCGATGGCGAATTGAGAGTGACTATACCGGATACAACAGCCATTGGTTCCATTATAACAACACTTCCTGTCGATGGTAGCATTCAATCCTGCTCGAGAATAGTGTAATTTATTCATCTATAGGAAACGCAGCCATTCGTCTATTCCCAGCGAGCAAAAGCTTCAAGATCGACGATTATGGAAAAGTCACACTGCTTGCCCCATTTAGTGCTGGTGTGCATCAATTTTCAGGTAATTCACACAACTATTACATAATTGCGGACTGTAATGAATAGAAAAATCATGCTAAAAAAATCGAACCAAATTGAAGTATGAACCAAAAACTTCCTGAACAGTGGAATAAAATAAAATTGTCACACTATTTACCTGTCATGGGAAACTAAATTCATGGGATTCCACTTTCTCTTATTTTAATATGAGGTATATGTCCAAAATCGCCTGCAAATTTTTGTTCTCTATAAATTTTCCTCTTTAGTGCTGGCCAAATCCCCTCATGGAGACATTGACTCGCTATCTGTGGTCGTCGAAGTGGAAGCAACGCAAAAACATGGTCCCAAGATAAGCTCCGCTTCTTGCGGTTCCATCTTGTTGCCAGAAAATCGTGCATTGGAAAATTTCAAGCAGATTGTTGCTTTGAATACGACAGCTAAGGCAAGGTTTATGATTCGTGGTAAGCTGTTACAAATTTTTGGTTCGTAATTTTCATTTTGTTGCATTTTTCTTTTTCGGTCCAACCAAGTACTTCGAGATCGACTCTTCTGGGCGCCTATCTTGTCCAGCTTTGGATCGCGAAGAACATTCTGAGCATTTGTTGGTAGTTGAGGTCGAAGATGGAGAACGAAAGGTAGGGGTATGAGTTTCTAAGCCTTTGAATGCTGAATAAACTTTATTGTTCCTCAGGACTCCTGCACTGTGAGGATTACAGTCGAAGATGAGAATGACAATGCACCACAATTTGCCTCATCTACACCACAAGTGATCTCCATCAATGATTCTATACAGCTTCAGAATGTTGTCTACAAGTTCGTCATCATTAACTGATTATGCAAGAAATGTCCAAATTTTCCCTTGGTCAACAAGTTTACTATGAACTTGAGATAAGCATAAGATCATGATGAGGTGAACTACATGCAATGGCTGCATTTTTTTCTAGAGGTTGCAGTAAGTCTTTTTTACTGAGGCTCAGTCCCTTTAGGATCGAACTAAGCCTTTGAAATCTTTCAAAGCATCAGAATGCTGAAATGTTATTTTTTATCTAGCACAAACTAGGCTTACATTTTCTTCTTTTCCCTTTCTAGTCGGCTGAAGCAAATTCGTGTGACTTTTTTTTAGAGAGGATAATCTTGTGTTCATCAGATCAAAGCTAAGGTAAAATCATGTAAAACTCAAAGTCTATACTTCTTCAGATTCTCGGCCTTCGATCATGATGTGGGAGCCAATGGGCGCATCGTATTCGATCTCGTCGAAGATGCGAGCTTGGCCTTCGACTTGAATCCTGAAAGTGGAAAGCTCATCTTTGTTCGGTAAGTGGCAGCTGTTCTACACTGAATGTCATTTCTATCTAGTAACAGAATTTGAAGAGGAGCTTGAAAAACTCTTGCTGATGGTAAACAAAGCATGAATATATTTGGAATTTACTGGTCTAGTTCGCTCCCCATTCGCTTAAAGTTCTCGTCATTTTGTATGATAGTTGTCCTTAGTTTGGTACTCTACCATTGTTTTTTTTTTCAGGGAACCACAAGGAGTTGGAAAGGACTGGATGATTCGAGTGAAATTGCACGACAAAGGATCACCATCTCTTTCCGTAGATCGATTCATCAGAATCCAAAGCACCCGTTCAAACGCAAAGGTTACTGATGAGCAACCAAGCTTTCTACGGCAGAAGTACATATCATCCGTGGATGAAGGCCTAACGCGCGGACAGATTGTTTCTAAGGTAGAAAATAAGCAGTACAAGTATAAAATCTACTAGCTGTTCCTTTTCAGGTAGCAACATCATCTAGAGATTCTCGCATTACCTATAGCATCGTTGAGGGAAATACAGATAGCGCCTTCGAGGTAAGTGATTAGACTCAGGCCTCAGTATCGCACAGTGACAATGACAATTCTAGATTGACAACGATGGCATCGTACGAACCTCCCAGGAGCTGGACTATGAAATCAAAGACCAGTACGATCTGAAAATAATTGCAACGGGAGCATTTCCAAGTCAGATTAGCACAAAAATGATAGTGGAAGGTGGATTTTCTTACTGTCATAAACCAAGAATTTCTGTTAGCGGACCCTTCAATTTGGCTTCACATATTGCTTCCTCATTATCACTGCGTTTCATACAAATTTCTATATTATCCCTGTTTTTTCAGTAAACAATCTCAACGATAATCCGCCAGTCTTTCCACGACATAATCGCAAGAAGGTGGTAGAAAGTGAGTTATATGGGTGTCTATGTAAGACTCACGTTTTGCTAGCGTTCATGAAATCCTTGAATGAAAATCTATTTTTAGCGCTCCCTGTTGGATCCTACATCACAACCCTAAATGCGAATGACGCTGATAATCAAGGCATATTAGAATACAGTCTAGACCCAAAGGAAGAAAGATTCATTATTGATCGGTAGGTTACAATCAATTAGTGTAATTATGTGCTCACTTATACGAAAACTGAAATCATTCGTTTAGATTTACTGGGGTGATACATCTAGCAACCAGTCTAGACTTTGAAACCGTAGAGGAAATTGACATCAAAGTCATGGTAAGCCACCAGAAAGTTCTATCTGAATTCTTTTTAGTGTGAATTATTCGACTTTAGGTCACTGATGGAAACTATACAGCTACGACTAATTTTGTTGTGGTTGTCATGGATGTGAATGACAATGCTCCAGAATTCCAGCAGCGTTTTGTCGACATCAAGGTAGATTTCTTTAGCTCCTGATTCACCATTTGTCGCTGGGTTTGCGGAAAATTCATCTGAAACTTTTGGGGAAAAAAAGATTTCTGCTTCAAACCTTCACTTGGTTCTAGTCATTATGATACTGAACATCAAATGCTTATTAAACAAACAGAGACTTGAATCAAATTTCCTTCTGACAGTATCTTCGGCTTTTGCAAACTCTACCGAAATTTGTTAGTGAGTTAAAAAATGTAAAGCTCTAAGAGAAACCACTAAAGAGAGCACTAGGCAAAAGTGTGGTACTTTCCAACGCTCTATAAAGTTTTGCTTTTATTACTTCACAAAGGTCACAAACCAGCTTAGGTCAAAAAGAAATTTTATATATCCAGGTTCCACAATCGACTGGTGCGGATGAAGTGATTGCTAAGCTGGTAGCTTTAGATCGGGACTCTGGTGATAACGGGAAAATTTCATATTCTCTGCTGGAATCCTACGAAATGTTCCACTTGGACAGCAATGATGGTGAGCTCAAAAAGCTTTAGAAACTTGGCTACTCAGCCAGCCCTTAGCTTACCTTCGAGTTACCAGCTCTGGAAAAACTTACGTATATAAACCTAGATTTTCAACAAAATCTGCATGTGTTTTCCAGAATGAAAAGCTCAGTTATTTTGAACTTCACAAAATAACAATTTGAAATGTGACATCTTATAGGAACCCTCACTCTGACATCTGCGCTCTCTCGCGATGCTGAATATCTGCTTACCGTAACAGCAAGCGATCATGGGCTACCCTCACTGTCCACATCAATTCCGGTTAGGGTCAAAGCTACTGTAGTCGAAGCTCAACAGCGTCCGCAGTTCCCAACCACTGCTTACGAGTAAGATCTAGATCTTCTGTGGGCTTGAGAATATCTTGCCTAGAACGTTGAAGCAGAATTTCACATACTTTGCAAAAAATTTCTCGATTTAGTTTCCTCGTTTCGGAATCGTGGACACCTCACATCCCATTTGGTAATGTTTCCATTGGCAATGAACCGTACTTCTACCGTATCTTGGATTCAAAAGCTGCTGAAGTGTTCGATATCGATGACTTTGGTCGAATGTCTTTGAAAACGGCTCTGGATAGGGAAACAAGAGACCAGTACAGCTTCATCGTAAGTCATATGATTTTAGGCTTCGAGTAGGATCATTCACCTCATTCTTAGGTCGACGTCGGCACTCATCCAGTTACTTACCACCAAAACTCAACCGCCACCGTAACTATTCGAGTAACGGACACCAATGACAACACGCCCGTCTTCAGCCCTTTAAGCTCAGAAATAACTCTCCGAGATGGGCTGAAGAGTGGAGAAGTGCTGAAGAGACTTGTGGCTACGGATGCAGACGACGGCGAAAACGGCCGCATCAGTTACCGTATCCTCTCCGGTGACGATTACGGTATCTTCTCTATTGGATCGGACACTGGGGCGTTGATGTTCAATCAATGGGATGACGAGCAGCTTGTGCGACATAACGATGGAAAGTGGACCTTGTTTATTGAGGCGAGGGACCATGGATCGGAGCCGAGGTTTGTTCCTGATAATTTATTTTTACGAGGATCCTGGCTGAATTATCTCCATTTTTAGATCAGCGATACTGCCTGTGCAGGTTTCACTTCAGCTGCAAACCTGGTCAGGTTCAGCACCTTTCTTTGTGATTCCCGCTTACGTTGTGCCTATTCTGGAAACAACCAGCATTGACAGCATTGTATTTATTGCTCATGCTACCAATCGCTTCGGGATTCCCATGAAAGTGCGATATGATTTGAAGGATAACGATCAAGTATGTTCTCAAAGATTTGAAGTAAAGCCAATTATCGGGACTACAATTCACACGAAAAAAAAACTACTTTACACTCAATAAAAGCTTGCATATTTCTCAAGAACTGCAGCCTGTTTTTTTCCTGTCATGCAATTCTAACGTTTCTGAACTTTTCTTTAATCAACTTATTTCAGACTTTCTCCATAAATCCTGCCAGCGGCGTTGTGCATCTAAAGCGCGACTTGGACTACGAGACCAGGAATTCATATAAAATGTCACTTCTTGCTTCAGACGAAAATGTAAGAATTTTACTTTATTATGTTATGCTCGATCTTGTGAATAAGGTAAGTAAATCATAAGTATTCACTAACGCATTTTACGGTTAGCTACAGCTTGTCAACATTGGAATATATCTGTCTACTCCCTAAGTAGTTCACCTGCTCCAAAATAACGGTTCTCTCCTTTGTTCTAAAAAAATAATTGCCCACGCTCGTTTAATCAATGCTTAAGAGCCCTATTTTTATAGTGTTGAAAAAATCCATTATTTTGTCACAAAAAAGAAAGATTTCAGATTACTTTAAAGTCATAAAAATGATCTTTAAGATACTTGCCACTCCATATAGTTTTGTCTTTCGTGGCTTAATTATAAAAAAAAACCACGCTCCGTAACAGCCTATTGCAATTCTAACATTTAGGGAAGATCCGCGGTTGTATCACTGGAGTTCCTCGTACTACCTGTTGATGAGTATCCGCCTGTCTTCTCACAATCAAGCTACACATTTCAAGTGAGATCATCGACTTTCTTTGCAGTCAAATCTCACAAAATTTCTGCTTACAGGTCCCACTTGACGCTGACATCGGGTCTATCATTGGAGAAGTCCGAGCTGTTGATGCGGATGGAGGTGTGCACGGTGTGCCATTATACCGTATTGAACCAAATAATGCTCTTGTGATGGTGGAGGAAAAGAGCGGTTTGGTAAGTTCTTATTTTAGGAAATTCTGATTTCAAAAATGAATTCTTTATTCAGTTGAGTTTGCGAAGCAGGCCAGACAAACGGCGGAATCACACCATAGAGCAGATCAATGTAATTGCTTCAAGTAGCGATACGCAGCAGACAAAAGCGACAGTGTATCTAGAGGTAAGCACGAACATTTCTAAAAATTCCGCTGCATTACAAATGAAAATACCCTTCAGATTGGAGATTATCCCTTGCATGCTGCCACTTCGACATTTTCGTCAAATATCTTCAAGATTGGAGCTATAGCTACGGCTGTCCTGTTTGTGCTCATGATTTGTTTGCTGGAATGTTGCTTATTCGGCTATAAGCGCTCAAAGCCTAAGGAAGTGGATAGCCCTCATAAGCAGGTAGGCAGAATTTTTTTCAACATTGAGCTCAAAATGAGCTCACCTATTTTTAGGGTACAAATTACCTTGAATCAACAACAATATTTTTGAATGGTGTGAGAATAATTATAGCATTTTAGGTCTATTCTATAAGCAAAAGCCGAGCCAAGGAAAGAAGAGAAAGCACTGGGATCGCTCGCATGGCTTGTTCGCCAAAACCAGCAATGCCAAGCAATATCCCACCACCGGTATGATATTTTACCACATTTTTAAGTCGGGAGGAATTACTTGGTCAGTTTTTGCTGAACTGCGGCTTCGGGTGCTATATAGTAAGGAAGGCAGTGTGAAAGTCTTTAACCATATTTTTTTACTTTGACGACAAATAATGAGCAGTGGTACACTCGCGCATAAACTGGTAAACTTGTATACGCGCTGGTAAACTTGCATATACACTGGTAAAAAACAAATACGACTGAAGCTGAAGTGCGAAATTTAGCATCCTGCAAGAAAACAAGTCACAGTTCTGAAATTCTAAAAATCCAAATAATTTCAATGTTCCTTTAAAAACGTTTGAGCATGCATGTAGTAGAAAAATTACAAAAAAAAACTTACTCTACACCATCACTGCATCAGCCTTAGTTTTCCTCAAAGTGCGTTGCTTGTAGAGAGAAATGGATTTTCTAAACGAGAGAATCTGTTTTGATTCATGAAATCGGAAATTTCACTCGACCGTCAAGCAGTCTGCGCAAGATTTGCTATTTTCAGAACCCATCAATGTCTTCATCAGCATCCTCAAACTCGGGATTGCGAAACTCTCTTCTTTCTCATCGTGAAGCGGCATCTACACGCTCGCAGCCTGACTCAGGCATCGATCAAGATGCTGTGTCCGTAAACAGTTCGGTAACGGAGTATTTGATTTCTATAGGGGTAAATCCAAATCCGCTTCAAACACGCCCACGGTAAGTTCTTCGCTGACAAGAAATGAAGAAGTTCTTGACAACCTATATGTAGGTATCGGCGACCTGAAACGATTGACTCTCCTCTAAATGATTATATCTATGCTAGAGTTGAAGATATACTTCCTCCGGGACCGGTCAGCTTATCAGAAAATGTGGAACAACTTGAAGGTCTATACAAGGTATAGCCATCACTGCTTTTCTGTCGTACAAACCATACTTTGAGTAATCTATACTACGATTGCAGTACACTCAGTCTCGGCATCCAGCTCCCACATTTCAACCCCTTACCGAAATCTTCGATGAGCTTGAAGAGATTCAGAGGGAGCAGGGAAAAAAGCGAGAAAGAGAATATATACAAGTGGAAATCTAGGTCGCTGCCGATTGTCTGCCTCAACGCTCAAGTTCGTTTTTGGTTTCTGCCCATGACCTTTTGAGTCTCCTTCCCGCCTCTCACTTTTCACTCGACTTTCAACTGCCCTGTTTGTACATAATTTTGTGTTGCTGATTTTGTACATACGGCGACGTCCATACTTTCCCAGACTGGTGCTCAAATCCTTGTGTTATCTTGAGATTGTCAAAAGTATAATGAAGATTTATTCAAATTAGCTTGCATATTCGGCTCCCGGCCTTGTTAATACACTATGACAAAGGTCACCATCCCATTTCTGTATAACATTACACTTCTATAAGCCAGTTACTTGGAATGTTTTTGAATCAGCATACTCACCCCTCCAAATCATTTCCCAGCCCTTCAGACCAAATAAACAATCAATCAAATCAATTAAAATAGATGGCGGTTGCAAAAGTTGATGTTTTCCTGATCAGCAGGCTCTAGCCCCCTGTGCCAACTCTCAGCCCGCTCGAAGTTTGCAAAAAATCTATAGAACTGATAAAAGTGTTTGATAGTTTTAAAAGTTGTTTAATTGGCATGCTCACTTGCTGCCTTATGTCAATTCCCAGTCCCCGCCAAAAATATCGATAAAATCAATATCGATCAATAAAAAAGTTTACTTCGCCCGCTCCGAAGGGTCTTTTCGGAGCATACGTACAGACAGGCAGAATAGTAAACGAAAAACAGGCATCATTCAGCCTTACGTATGAGATGTGTAGTCCTAAATCAACATAGAATTAACGCATAAGAAACTATAATTGTCTGTTTGATCATACTTGCATGCCTGCAGGTAAGAAGAAGCCTATTAACATAATTCCCGCTGGGAATGCAGTTTGCTTCAAGCTGATGCCCTTAGGTAACTCAATTCGTGAAGGTCATGCATGCTTAACTACTTGAAAGTGGTGGTTTGCTACATTTTACTGTTGAGTGTCATTTCAAACCTATTTGCCAGCACTCCAGCTATTCTAATGGACAAAGTTTTGGCTTGGATTTTCCATATTGCGGCCAGAGCTCGGCATGAGGTGGCTTTTTCAGTTTTTCAAAAACGAAGTCTCTATAGACTTCGGCACAAAAATACGACATCGTCTATGACGCGATTCAATGAATCAAAACGAATAACAAAAAAGAATGGAATAAAACATAAAAGTAACATTGAACAGACAAAAAAACTGAAGATGTTCGTATTCCGAATTGGCGGCATGCTGTGACCGGCGCACCCTTGCGCGCCTGTCACAGCATGGAGCAGGCTTGCCGCCGCCATCGTCATCATTACTATCTATATCTTACTATAATATCTTATGACAACTGCCAAAGCGATGCGACGAGGGTACTCTCCTCTCCCATATGCTTTACCGTTGTGCTATGTGTCTCTTACAGTGTTAACAGCAGATTCGCGACAACGAGAGCCGTCCAGATTATGCGACGACGAAATATAACTGTGTCACTCGAATTTTTGAGGATGCGCAGAGAAAGCTCCGCCCTACGAAGAGAGTTGCGGGTATAGCATTTGTCTTCTCGTAGCTACAGACAAATGAGTTTGATAGAGAGTCAGAAAAGTTGCCCTTTTTTGCAGGCTACTTGTCTTAATGAGATCTTTGATTGTTTCGATGAATGAGTGGTTGTACATAAGTGCAAGTGTCTGGAGTTGTTTTCGCCAGACAGTGGATGCTACCGTTCCCTATCCTACTCTATATAAAACGCAAGCACCCTCATATGACTCAGCGCGTTTGTCGGCGTAAACAAGTGTGTTTGTCGGATCCAGAGAACGATCAAACAGTGATCCTTGGTATTTGCCAGACGACCCATGCATAAACAACTATTCTTAAAAGCTTCTAGAAAAGACTATGATGGTTGCGAGTACAAAAGTACAGTCTAGAATACATGTTGACTGAATCAGTCTCTCTTTACACTACTTCATCACTTAGGCTTCCAATCCATCTACGCTCGATCTCAAAATTGTTAGTATCTTCTACCGATTTGACAGTTTTTTCCAGTTGCTCTGTCATTAACGCGCACCACTCCGTGTCTCAATTCCTCTTTCAAAATAACATTCATTGTAGCAAATGTCCTAAATTCTAAGTGCTATGGCCGCCTCAATTTCGTCTTCAGATTGACATCCTTTTAGCAAATGTGTGCGTGTCTAAGCTTAGTGCTATAGTCATGTTTTGATCCTTGCTTCATCAGCCAAATTCGTGCAAAAAAACCATTTTCATAAAAAAAATCTTTGGACACTTCAGCTGAATTTTTATGCCTCTTTTTTGCTCTCTTTATCATTTTTATACTATCGCTTTAAACTCCCATTCGCAAAATGATTCTCAGTGTTGCATTCACCATGTGTAAAGTATTTTTGCCGTATGTTTCAATCCATACTCTCCGAATAAGTATGTACGACCTTTTGTATAGCCTCTTCAAAGTCGCTATTTTTAGAAGAAAGAAATACTTAAATTACCTATTGCCAACAAAACTGATCAAATGGAGTAGTCATTAGGAATTTCGAATAAAATCGAAGTAGTAAAATTATCTATAGAATCATAAACCAATAAAGTTATGCTATCCATACTTAGCGACCATTATGTCATATGTATCCGATGCCCTCAAATGCAATGCTTTGAGAATTCACAGATGAAGTAAAGAGGAATAGATTTCCTTCTCTCTTTTAGGTTTTTTTTCGGCCAATCCAGTTTCGGTATGGCTGTATCAGTCTCTAAAGAGTTCTTCCACAAAAAAACTTTCACTTCCAATTTGGTTGCATGAATGAAATGAAAAAACGTCTTTCTTTTGAACGAAATTTTCACCGTTCATTTTCCAGTACAATCTGCAGTGTAATGACAGTAAATACAGCAAATGCTGCTGCAGAGTCATGAATATCGGGAGCGCGTACGATCACTTTTCAAGACGCTATGCTTTTCGTATTACTTTCCGACATCAATGATTTCATTCACTGAACATTAGTGGAAGCTTTCCTAATGTCACCACTTGAATTATTCAAAAAAACCTTTTTGAAAGGATATCAGCGTAGTAATGTCCTCGAGCTGCTAAAAATTGGATGAAAAAAGCTCCTTAGCTATGAAAACGTAAATTCATCAGAGCTCCACCCCAGAATTTGGGATTTTTCTGTTCGAAAACCGAAAACCCTACGATTGATATTCATTTTCGCTGCATACAAATTTGTTTGGATCAAGGAACACTATATTACCTAAATTGTGCACGCATTTCAAAAGTTCCCAGCAAGGGAAGAAAGGATGTGATTATTACTCAAAATTGTTGAATTTGAAAGTCTGAACTACACTAGAACCTTTCAAGTGGTTAAGCCGAATTCCCTTGCTGCTTCAAATTTGAGGAAAAGAGTATTTGCAATCCGGACAGTGAAGCTCCGAGGGCATTCTGGAGGGAGCGAAATAAACAGCAGAACCCTGGGTGGAGATAGATTTTTAAGTATAAAAGTGCGAGAGACTGAGTATCTTGCAAAAAAATCGGAGAGGAACTATGGCAGATCAATATGCAAGTGGTGCAGGGCAGCTTTGAGCAAGGATAAACTCATGAAAGATCAAAGAAGACCTAAACGGCACGAAAAATTATTGGGGATCTGCAAGAAAAAAAAAGAATTTTTTAGGAAACTTTTGAGTGAAAAGTTTAGGAACACTTTCAAAAAACTCAGGCTTATGCAAAATGCAAGTTCTTCATGAAAAGTTAAGCATTCTGTAGAGGTGCGAGGATAAATTTGTATGAAACAGGAAGATTTTTGCCACTATAGTCATGGGCTCTGTGATGATTTTGTTAGCATGTGGGATGGTGACCTCTGGGGTAACTTTGGTAACATGTGGGATAGAGCTTTTCAAACTCAACTTTTCTCAAACGGCGAGTTTCTTTTTGGTTTGGGTGCTGTAAACAGGCTATTACTAATCTTGCTAACCACGCTGTCTCAGCAGCCGTATCCACCGATTTGCTACCGATACTATGACAAGGAGACCAGATGCTCGCGATACCTGTATATATCTGTAATCGGTGAGACAGATGATGTTTGGGCCGATGTTCAGATTCTATCACCTGGGCGCAATTTATAGCAGAACTACAAGAAAGCCGCAATTCAAAGTCCCGTGAAGGAGCCTTTTCTACGCATGATATAATCCATTACGTTTAAGAAATCACTGTCATTGATTCTCTAGAGTAGTTGCGTAGAACCGCTCTAGGTTAGGGGGCACGCTGCCAAACTCTGATAGTGTATGTTCATATATACCCCCCCCCCCTCCTGCGCCACTTAAGGGTAAACATTAGGTTGCCCTCGCCAGACAGTGGATGCTGCAGTAGTTATGGTTTGATTGATCTTTGAGGTAAGTTTTGCGAGTTTTGATTGTTTTGTTGGAAGAATTGAAAGTGCAAGTGTCTGGAGTTGTTTTCGAGTAACTGTTTGAGGTGCAAATTTTGCATTAAACGGTCTTCAAGCGGCACGTAGGGAATAAACTTTCATTTTGAATAGTTACTCTCGGTCTGTAAGCGGCACGTAGGGCAACCCGATCGGGCAGGGAAACAGATTTTTGTACGTTTGGGGCAATTCTTATAATTCCTAAACGGTCTTCAAGCGGCACGTAGGGCATAAACTTTCTTTTTGAATAGTTACTCTCGGTCTGTAAGCGGCACGTAGGGCAACCCGATCGGGCAAGGAAACAGATTTTTGTACGTTTGGGGCAATTCTTGTAATTTTTTGACGGTCTTCAAGCGGCACGTAGGGCATAAATTTTCTTTTTGAATAGTTACCATCGGTCTGTAAGCGGCACGTAGGGCAACCCGATCGGGCAGGGAAACAGGTCTTTGTATGTTTGGGGCAGTTCTTATAATTCCTAAACGGTCTTCAAGCGGCACCTAGGGCATAAACTTTCTTTTTGAATAGTTACTCTCGGTCTGTAAGCGGCACGTAGGGCAACCCGATCGGGCAGGGAAACAGATTTTTGTACGTTTGGGGCAATTCTTGTAATTTTTTG